GTCCCTAAAGCAAACTGGCAGGGTCCCGGAGCCAGGCTCAGTGGGCCTCACGCCTTCCTCTGCCCAGTATAAGGTCTCTGAAGGGCCAGGGAGGACCTGGAGCGGGCCAGTGACTCACCAGGCTTGACTTCCCTGCCAGTAGGTAGTAAGGAAGCCTCTTCTTCCTCCTCCTCCTCCTTCTCCCAGGACCCTCAGGCCCCTGCATGCTGTCTCAGAGGACTCAGAACCCAGGGCACAAGGCTGCAAGGCAAGCACGGCCACCTCTGGGATTGCAAATTCCTCGGCCTGGCTGCCGCGTGGATGGCGCTCCCACCCAGGACTTCCCTTCTGCACCAGGTTCTATTTGTGTCTCTGAAGCTTGGCCTGAACCCCCTAGAGAGTGTCTGAGCATCACAGAGGCCTCAGTCCTCAGGGCTAGAGCAGACCTCAGCGTTGCCTGCTCCTGTGTCCCCATTTGCTGGAGGAGGAAAACAGTGCACAAGGCCATGGAGACTAAGTCCTGTGGCAAAGCAAGGACTTGAACTCCAGACAACAACCCTCTACCGGCAACACCTCCCAACTCCGTCCCCTCCCAGGGTCCCCTGCCCCTCATCCCCAGCGCTCTTTTCTAACTAACTGAATCCTATGTCTGTTTGTTTTAAACTCACAACCCAATGGGGTTTACCCCAGATAAGAAAGGAAAATTAACTATCAGAAAATTCACCCATTAAACTTTCCATGTTAATTAATAGACTAAAGAAGCAAAATCATGTGATTATCTCATCGTAGGCACACATATACACAAAAGGCTTTTGATATATTCAATAATTTTGATTTTAAAAAATTATTAGCAAACTAGGAAAAGAACTTATAAAACTTGATAAAAATTATATGCCAAAATTTAGAACCAATATATTCTTATAGGACAAGCTTTCAGTACCTCTAAGATCAGAAACAACTCAAGGATGCCTGATATCACAGACACTATTTAACTTAGCCCTGGGATTCTTGCTGACATTATAAAGAAAAGGAAAAGAAGTGTAAGGATAGGAGGATAAGAGGTAAAATGGTCATTACTTGCAGATTACACAGTCACCTACAAAGAAAAAGCAATGCAATATTTACCAGATAAAATATCTACCTATCAAAATTAATAGCATTTTCCATACCAGCAATAACCAACTAGAAAATATAAAGGAAAATAAAATATTAAAGTATCTAGAAACTAGCTTCCTCTTCCTTTTCCCTCTTTTCCCTTCCCTTCCTGAAAAATTCAGACCTGATGCCATTAGCGGGGCACAACGAGGTGGACATTTGTGAAGAAGGCAGCCTGTGTGAGACAGTGGGGCTCACATGGGGTGAGGAGGGCTTCCAGCATGAGGGAAGCCTGGTAGAAGATGCTGGAGCCCACGTGGGGTGAAGATAGTGATGTTTATTTCCTAGCTCTGTCCACTGAAAGGGCCTGGGGGCAGTGATATTCCAATGGCCATGAGCACGCCTCGTACTCAGACATTGGCTTCCAAATGCCATTCTCCACTACAAGGAACGTGGGCTCCCTGGACAAATGGCTGGTTCTAGGATAGGGGCAAAGGAAGTAGAAGATGAGCGTAGGTAATCTAGTTGTTTGAAAAAGCACGGAAGTGCTCAAAGAATGATGGGGACGTGTCAAAAGGATATATCCAACTTGAAAGGGCTCTACCTGGACAAAAAATGGGAGAATTTGAAAGAAAAATTAATAACGATAATAACAGAATGAATTAAAAAGAAAACTATGAGTCCACATAGCAGTTTGATAAGAATGGAATATTTGAATGAACCACTCCACAGCATACTTTCAATTACAAAAGGAAAAAAAAAGTAACTTTACAGTGGCAAAACCTGGCAGATAATTAATCAGGGCATCAGAGTAAACACCATCAGCAAGGGGGCAAATTGAAATTATGTGTCATCTGATAAGATGCAACAGGAAGGACATAGCTCACTTCTGTGACATTCCTATCAAAGGTGCACAACTGGCACATAAACACGAGGAAATGCCAGACAAACCTAAACAGAGGGACATTCTGTGAAATAACTCGCCTGTGATCTTTGAAAATGTCAAGGTCATACAAATCAAAGAGAGATTAAAGAACTGTTCCAAACTAAAGAACTGTTGGAAACTAAGCTGGTTTTCATCCAAATGTGAAAACCAAATGCAACATGTGATTAGAACACAATTTTTTTTTGCCGTAAAGAACATTATTGGGACAATTACTGAAACGTGAAGGAAGTCTGAGGATGAGATGACATAGTGTATCAATGTTAATTTCCCAACTTTGATAGTTATATTGTGGCTATGTAGGAGACTTTGCTTGTTTGTATGAATATTGTACAAAGTTGTCGGGGGAGGGATGATGGGACATTAGGTTGGCAACTTATACTCAAATGGTTCAGGAAAAAAATTTTTTTTATATTGTTCTTGCAGCTCTTCTGTGTTTGAAATTGTTTCAAAATTAAAAGGAAAAAAACTGCTGAAATTTACATTAAAAGTATCTAGAAATTAACTTAAGGAATGCAAAAGATTCCTAAAGTAAAAGTTTAAAATTTTTATTAAAGGGCATAAAAGAAGACATAAATAGGTACCTATTCCATACTCATGGTTAGGGCAACTTCATGTTATGAAGATGCCAGTTCTCCTTAACTTAATCTACAAATTCAGTACACCCTCAAGCAAAAGTGTAGGTGGATTTTTTTTTTTTTTTTTTTTGAGAGAAGGTCTTGTTCTGTTGCCTGGGCTAGAGTGCAGTGGCAGAATCATATAGCTCACTGCAAGCTCAAATTCCTGGGTTCAAGTGATCCTCCTGCCTCAGCCCCCAGAGAAGCTGGGACTACAGACGTGTGCCACTACACATGGCTAATTTTTCTATATATGTGTGTGTGTATATATATATATATGTATTTTTTTTTGGAAGAGATGGGGTCTCAATCTTGCTCAGGCTGTTCTCAAACTGCTGGCCTCAAGTGATCCTCCCCCTTCGCCCTCCCAGAGTGCAAGGATTACAGGCATGAGCCATGGATGGATTTTATTTTGGGAGAAATTCAACAAACCTGTTCTAAATTACATATGGAAGAATCAAGGTCCACAAAGAGCAAAGTCAACTTTACGAAGAAAGAGCTAAGTGGAAAAAGTTGTCTTGTCAGATGTGTAAATATAGACAGATAAATAAATAGATGTAAATATAGCCGGGCAGACTTTGCAGGGATGGAGAGACACGGTGCTCGGGTGCTGGGCTGGGAGTGCGGTGTGGGCCAGGACTGGCAGTGTGGGCTGTGCCTTTAGGGCTCAGCTGTTTCTTACCTGACCAGTTCTGTGGGTGATTTGGGCAGTTTCTTGGCCCCAAGGCCTCTGCCTGGTTCTTCCACCTACCAGTGCCCTGGGACTAACCCAATATCCTTCCAACAGTTTTCCTTGCTGCTTAAATCAGCCAGAGCTAGTTTATGCCACGACAAAGGCCTCTCTGGTGGGTCCTTTGTCTTCCTTCCCTCTCTAGGCCTAGCCTCTCTAGGCTCCTGCAGCACCACAGGTCTCCCTCCTCCCGCAGCCAGCAGTCCTGGCTTTGACCACGGCCGGCCGTATCATCTTATGGCTCTATCGAATCTCTCCTGCTACAGGCTCATAGTCGCCTATTCACAACTCTAGGGGCCAGAGGTGATTCAAAATTCAGAAATTTTCAGCTTTTAGAAAGGTGATTTGGTGCATATTTTGGGGCCACACCCCCGATAATCAACTACATCAATATTTTCTCATCCAGTGGGTTATCATACTTAAGACTATAAATAAACCAGGCTAGACCAGCCTGGGCAACATAGCGAGAACTCGCCTCTAAGCAAATGCAAAAGAATTCGCTGGGCATGGTGGTGGGCCCCTGTAGTCCCAGCTACTCGGGAGGCTGAGGCAGAAGGATCGCTTGAGCCCAGGAGTTTGAGGTTGCTGTGAGCTAGGCTGACGCCACGGCACTCTACCCAGGGTGACTGAGAGAGACTCTGTGTCAAAATAAACGAATAAATACAATAATTGGGAAGGTGTTGTCCATCACAAGTACTCTCCTCCAGGCCAAACAATGAGTAAGGAGTACTGCCTAATGTTCTTCATCAGTTGAGAGGTTCAATGTGATGAAAACAGCTCTGCTATGTGCAGCTGTGAGTGGCAGCTTCATCACGACAACACGCCTGCCCATGCATCATCACCTCTCGTGCAGAGTTTTTTGGCGAAACATCAAATCACCCAGGTGACTCAGGCCTCCTACAGCCCAGATGTGTCGCCCTGTGACTTCTGGCTTTTCCCAAAACTAAAATCACCTTTGAAAGGGAAGAGATTTCAGACTATGGATGAGATTCAGGAAAATACGATGAGGCAGCTGCTGGCAATTCCAACACAGGATTCTGCAGAGTGTTTTGAACAGTGGAAGAGACGTTGGGAGAACCACTTGAGGTCCCAAGGTAGATACTTTGAAGGGGACTGAGGCGTCATCGTCCTACGTACAATGTTTCTTGTATCTTGTATCTTCTTCAATAAATGTGTCCATTTTTCATATTTCATGGCCGGATCCTTTTCGGGACAGACCGTGGTGAAGCCTATATAGGTGATTATTATTGTACATTTCTTCGATGGAGGGATAGTGAGCCAGGGTACAGTATTCCTCATGTGCATTTCAAAGGCCAAAGCATTGTGTGGATCCAAGTTCTTTGAAAACTTCCAAAGCCTGGTCCCAACAGTTTCTTCTGCTTGTTCAACACATTGTTCCTATGATCCTCGCGCTACAGTGAGGTGTGCACTTGTTATGTGATGTTCTGTGTATCCCTATCGGTTTCTTGGAGAGGTATTAGAGGGTAGAGATTCTGGAGCTAAACAGACTCAAGTTTAAATTCTTGCTCTATCCCTTAATTAGCTGTGTGACCTGGGTCATGTCACTTAACCTCTCTGAGCCACAGGTCTCTCACTTGCACAATGAGACTGAGAATGGGTTAGGGAAGGCACTTACCTTTGGTCCTAGCCCAAAGCAAGTGTTTATATCAGGCAGTGAGGATTGTTGTAGGGTCGTGGAGTGATGAGTTGGCTGAGACTGCAGGTTAAACTGGCCTGGCTTCTTACTGTGAGGAGTTTCCAGTCTGAATGGAGGCCAGGCATCTGCTGGGGGACCAGGATGGCTGTACTGCTAACTGTGGGCTTCATTTGTCTGCAAGAAAAAAGAACGAGTGTCGTGACTATTTAATAAAGCTAAGTGTATGCCTATGCTGGCATTAAACATGCCCTTAATTTCTGAAGAAGATGGAGATAGGTTGCCAGGAGTTGAGGTTGCTTAACGCCCTTCTGTGGCATTTCTACATCAGCCAGTCCCTGCGTCTTTGGAAACTATGCAGGTTTGTGAAATTCCAAGTGTGGGAACCACTGACTCCAAAGACTCTTAAAGAGAAGAAAATGTGGGCAGAAGGTGCCGACCATGATTCAGTACATTGAGATCAGCTGGGCATTTGCATGGCTATGACCGGTCAGTGCAGACGCAGATATTTGCCTGTGGGAGCAAGTTCCTGAAGAGGAATTTGCATTGCCTTTCTCTCACTTGCTGGCCCGATTGTTTCTCTGGGGCTAGCATTTTCTTCCTGGCTTGCCTGCTTCAAGTATCCAGACTTGGGGCAGAGAAGGGCAGGGTGGGGTGAGGCTCTGCACAGCAGGATAGAGGCAGAGTGGGAGGGGCGGGCTGGGCTGGACCCCCAGGGCGCTGGGCTGCCCTCTTTCAAAGGAAGACTGCTTGAAGGTTCAAAAGCCCACCCTGCTGCTTTCTGGCTTTGTAAGAAGGGCAAGTCACTGAGCCTCCATTGTCTTATCTGTTAAAGTAACAATCTCTTCCCAGTGTTGTATGGTTTCTGCTCTTGTGCCCAAGTGTAAGGCTCAGTTTCCTGAGCTAGAAAATGGGCATAAAAATCATACCTGTCTCATAGCATGGAGATGAGGATTAATACTCATCACAGTTCCTGGCATATAGTAAGTGCTCAATAAATGCTAGCTAGCTAAGATTGACCATTAGTTTTTGTTATAGCGCCATAATCCCTTATCTGCAACAATCTGAAATTCATAATGCTCTGAATACTAAAAGTGTTTTTGTAAGTTTGCCACCAAAACTCATTACTCATTTGACGGCAAAACCTGTAGTTTTTTTTTTTCTTTTTTTTTAGAGATAGAGTCTTACTCTGTCAGCCAAGCTGGAGTACAGTGGCTGATCATAGCTCACTGCATACTGCAGCTTCAAACTCCTGGGCTCCAGTGATCCTCCTATCTCAGCCACCCAAGTAGCAGGGACCATAGGCATGTGCCACCACACCTGGCTCATTTTTAAACTTTTTGTAGAGACAGGGTCTCACTATGTTGCTCAGGCTGGTCTCAAACTCCCGGCCTCAAGAGATCCTCCGCTTTGGCCTCACAAAGTGCTAGGGTTATAGGCATGAGCCACTATGTATGGCCCTAAATTGTATTTATTTTTAATTAATTGAAATTTAAGTGTAAACGGCTACATGTGGCTAGCAGCTACTGTATTGGACAGCACAGCTCTATGTAAATGAATTCTTATATTTTGCTAAAGTGCTTGAAAATAAGTTGCAGATACTTCACTCTGAAATACTTCAGTTAATATTTCTTCAGAACCAGGACACTTTCCTACATAACCAAGGTTCTGCTATCACATTCAAGAATTTTTTATAATGAATGTATTGAAATATAATTCACATTCCATATAATCAACCCATTTAAAGAATGCAATTCTATGCTTTAAGTATACTCACAGTTGTGAAATCATCATCACAAATTTCAAGACACTTTTATCACCTACAAAGAAGCTTGCACCCATTAGCAGCCACTCCGCATTTTCCCCCCAACTCCCTTCTCCCACCCCCTCCCCGACCGCTAGCCCTAGGCAACTACCAGTCTACATTCTGCCTCTACATTTCACAGAAATGGAATTGTACCATATGTGGTCCTTTGTGTTTGGTTTCTTTCACTTTATATGATGTTTCCAAGGTCTATCCATGTTGTAGCATGTACCAGCGCTTCATTTTTTTTCTTTGAATGGAGGTAAAATTCACGTAACATAAAATTCACCATTTTAATCATTCTAAAGTATACAGTTCAGTGGCTTCCAGTACATTCGCAGTGTTGGGCAACTGTCTGTGCCTGTTGCTATAACAAAATACCTTAGATTGGGTGGTTTATAAACAGTAGAAATTCATTTCTCACAGTTCTGGAGGCCGGGAAGTCCAAAATCAAGGCACCGCAGATTCGGTGTCTTGTGAGGGCCTGTTCCTCCTAGGTGGTGCCTTCTCTGTGTCCTCACATGGCAGGAGGGAGCTAACCAGCTCCTTCCAGCTTCATTTATAAGGGCACTAATTCCATTTATGAGGGCAGAGCCTTCATGACCTAATCACCTCCTAAAGGCCCCACTTCTTAATGCTATCAAATTAGGGGCCGGACGCAGTGGCTCACACCTGCAATCCCAGCACTTTGGGAGGTCAAGGCAGGAGGATGGCTTGAGGCCAGGAGTTAAGACCAGCCTGGGCAACTTGGCAAGACCTTGTCTCTACCAAAAATTTAAAAATTAGCCAGGCGTGGTGGTGTGTGCCTATGGTCCTAGCTACTCAGGAGAGGGAGAATCATTTGAGCCCAGGAGTTGAGGTTACAGTGAGCTATGCTTGGGCAACAGAGTGAGACTCTATTTCTAAAAAATAAAATGAAACTTAAAAAAAATACTATCGCATAGATATTAGCTTCCAACATATGAATTTTGGGGAGACACCAACATTCAGACCCTAGCATTCTACCCCTGGTCCCCCTCCAAATTCATGTCCTTCTCACTGGCAAAATAGGTTCATTCCATCTCAGTAGCCCCCAAGGTCTTAACTTACCCCAGCACCAACTCAAAACGCTGAAGCCCAGAGGCTCATCTCAGTCAGATACAGGTAAGACTCAAAGGTGTGATTCATCCCAGGCAAATTCCCCTCCAGCTGTGAGTCTGTGAAATCAAACAAGTTATGTGCTTCCAAAATACAATAGTGTGACAGGCACAAGACAGACATTTCCATTCCAAAAGGGAGAAGTAGGAGTAAGAGGTCCCAACCAAATCCAAGACCCAACAGGGCAAACATTAAATCTTAAGGCTCCAGAATATTCTTTGACTTGATATCCTGCAGTCTGGACACACCGGGTTGGGGAATGGGCCCCCAGGGCTCCAGGAGGCCCCGGTCCCGTGGCTTTGCCAGGCACAGCCCACGCCCACTTCTCACAGGCCAGAGTCCTATGCCTATAGCTCTCCAGGCCGGAATTGCATGCCTGTGCTCCACTGTTCTGGGGTCCTGGGAGCAGCCCCATATCTCTACTAGGCATTGGCCTAGTGGGGGCTCTCTGCGGAGGCCCCTCCCTTGTGGTAGCCTCTTCCTAGGTTATGTGTCTGAGACTCCAGGTGGCTCCATCCTTTGAAATCTAGGTGGAGGCAGCCATGCCCCACAGCTCATGTACTTTTTTTTTTCTTTCCTTCCTTCTTTCTTTCCTTCCTTCCTTCCTTCCTTCTTTCTTTTGCAAGATCTCATCTGTGGCCCAGTCTGCAGTGCAGTGGTGCAATCATACCTCACGACAACCTCAAACTCCTGAGCTTGAATGATCCTCCCACCTCAGCCTGCCGAGTAGCTAGGACTACAGGCTGCAGGCGCACACCACCACACCTGTCTAATTAAAAAAAATTTTTGTAGAGATAAGGTCTTTCTATGTTGCCCAGGCTGGTCTCAAATTCCTTCCTCATCCCTTGGCCTCCCAAAGTACTGGGATTACAGGTGTGATCCACCGTGCCCGGCCTCAGGCACTCTTTGCACCAGTGGAGATGGTACCAGGCAGGCTCTGCCAAAGTTTACTGCCTGTGTCTTCTGGTGGGGCAGCCTGAGGTGCACCTGGGACCACTTGAACCACAGGTGGCGTGGCCAAGGAGACGTATACCAGAATGCAGAGAGCAGAGGCTTGAAATCATTCTGCACCCATGGCCCTGGTATTCTGGGCCTGTGCTGGGAGAGACAGCCCCAACAATCTCCAAAATGCCCTTGGAGTCTTCTTCCATTGTCTTGATGAATAGCTTCTTCCTTCCTTCTATCCGTACTAATCTTATCAAACAATCACTTGGCCATACCCTTGGTGTTCTCTCCCAAGCATGCTGTTTCACTTTTTTACAATACGCCAGACCAAGAAGTTTCCAAATCTTTAAGTTCTGCTTCCCTTTTGATTATAAATTCTGTCTTTAATTTGTTTCCCTCTTCTCTCTTTTTACTATAAGTGGTCAAGAGAAGCATGTCGCACCCTCAACACTTTGCTTAGAGATTTCTTCCATTAGAACTGGGTGTGGTAGTGTATGCGTGTAGCCCCAGATATTTGCGAGGCTGAGGTGGGAGGACCACTGGGGCTCAGGAGTTCGAGACTAGCCTGGGCGATATAGCAAGACCCTGTCTCAAAAAGAAAAGAGAGATATTTCTTTTGTCAAATATCCTATTTTGTCACTTATAAATTCCTCTTTCCAGAAAGTACTAGGACATAAACATAATTCAGCCACGTTCTTTTGCACTTTATAACAAGGATGGCCTTTCCTTCAGTTTCCAATAACATGTTCTTCACTTCTGTCTGAAACCTCATCACAATGGCCTTTACTGTCCTCATTTCTACCAATATTCTGATCACAACCACTTAGGTAATCAAGAAGACTGAGGCTTTCCCGCAGTGCTATTCTACTGAGCCCTCACTACAATTATCCTTAATGCTCTGTTCACAGCCCAAAGGCTTTTTCTAGAGTTCACTTCCAAACTCTCCCAGTGTCTGCCCATCACCTAGTTCCAAAGCTGCTTCCACATTTTTAGATAGCTGTTTTACACAGCAGCCCCTCACTTCTTGGTATCAGTCTCTGTCTTAGACCATTCCTGCTGCTATAACAAAATAACTTAGACTGGGTAATTTAAGAACAATAGAGAGTTATTGCTTACAGTTCTGGAGGCTGGGAAGGCCAAGATCAAGGCACCAACAGATTCGGTGTCTGGGGAGGTTCCCTTTCTGCTTCCAAGACGGCGCCTTCCTGCCACACCCTCACATGGTAGAAGGGTGAACACTGTGTCCTCGTGTGGCAGAAGGGAGCTAATCAGCTCCTTCAGGCCTCTTTTATAAGAGCAACAATCCAGGCCGGGCACAGTGGCTCATGCCTGTAATCCTAGGACTCCGGGAGGCCGAGGTGGGAGGATTGCTTGAGCTCAGAAGTTCAAGACCAGCCTGAGCAAGAGGCTCTACTAAAAATAGAAGAATTAGCCAGGCGTTATGGTGTATGCATATAGTCTTAGCTACTGGGAGGCTGAGGCAGGAGGATTGGATTGCTTGAGCCCAGGAATTTGAGGTTGCAGTGAGGCAGGCTGATGCCACTGCACTCTAGCCCAGGTGACAAAGTGAGACTCTGTCTAAAAAAAAAGAGCAATAATAATATTAATGAGGGTGGAGTCCTCAACCTAATCAATGCCTAAAGGCCCCACCTCTTAATAATAACACACTAGGCATTAGGTTCTAACATATGAATTTTGGGGAGAAACCAACATTCAGACCATGGCAGCAACCATAACCACTATCCAGTTCCAGAACATTTCATCACCCCCAAGAGACCCTCCCTGTACCTATTAAACAATCACTCCCCACTCCCCCAGCCCCCCAGCCCTAGGCAACCACTAATCTGCTTTCTGTCTCTATGAATTTGCCTATCCTGGGCATTTCATACAAATGAAACCATGTAGCTTTTTATGTCTGGCTTCTTTCACTTCGTATAACGTTTTCAAGATTTATCCATGTGGTACCACGTATCAGTACTTCATTCCGAATCATATTCCATTATATGGACATACCACATTTTGCTTATCCATTCATGAGCTGATGGGCGTTTGGGTTGTTTCCAGTTTTTGACTATTGTAAATAATACTGCTCTGAACATGGGTGTACAAGTTTTTGTTTAAACACTTGTGCTCAATTCTCTCGGGTATATATCTAGAAGTGGAATTGCTGGGTCCTATGGTAACTCTGTTTCACTTTTTGAGGAACTACCAAACTATTTTTCATAGAGCCTGCACCATTTTACACGTCCAGAAGCAATGTTTGAGGATTCCAGTTTCTACACATCCATACACTTCTTGGAGTCTGTCTTTTGTGATTATAGCCGTCCTAGACGTTCTGAAGTGATATCTTACTGTGGTTTTGATTTGCATTGACTAGTTTAATTTGCATTCACTCTAATGACTAAAGATGTTGAGCATTACTTCATGTGCTTATTGGCCATTGTGTATCTTCTTTGGAGAAATGTCTCTGTTCAAATCTTTTGCCCATTTTTTTTTTTTTTTTTTTGAGACAGAGTCTCACTGTGTTGCCTGGGCTAGAGTGCTGTGGCGTCATCTTAGCTCACAGCAACCTCAAACTCCTGGGCTCAAGCGACCCTCCTGCCTCAGCCTCCCGAGTAGCTGGGACTACAGGCATGCGCCACCATGCCCGGCTAGTTTTTTTCTATATATTTTTAGTTGTCCAATTAATTTCTTTCTATTTTTAGTAGAGATGGGGTCTCGCTCTTGCTCAGGCTGGTTTCGAACTCCTGAGCTCAAACAATCCGCCCGCCTCGGCCTCCCAGAGAGCTAGGATTACAGGCGTGAGCCACCGCGCCCGGCCTCTTTTGCCCATTTTTAAATCAGGTTGTTTGTCTTTTTGTTGTTGTGTCTAGTATTCCGAATAGTAGAACAAATATGATTTGCAAATATTTTCTCCAAGTCTGTGCGTTTCTTGATTGTGTCCTTCGATATACCAAAGTTTTTAACGTTGATCAAGTCCAATTTATCTATTTTTTTCTTTTGTAGTTTTTGCTTTTAGTATCATAAAAAAAATTGTCATTGGATTCTTATCCTTTGCCAAATCCAAGGTTATGAAGATTTACCCCTATGTTTTCTTCTAGGAATTTTATAGTTTTAGCTCTTACATTTAGTTAGGTCTTTAATCCACTTTCAGTTAATTTTTATATATGGCATGAAGTAAAGATCCAACTTCATTCTTTTGCATGTCTTTTATTATTTTTTTTTCTTGCCTGATCGGTCTGGCTAGAATCTCCAATGTTGAATAGAAGTGTCTTCTTCCCGATCTTAGAGGGAAAGCATCCCCAGTAAGTATGATGTTGGCTGTGGGTTTTTCACAAATGTCCATCATCAGGCTGAGGAAAATTCCCTTCTCTTTCGTTTTTTAGAGACAGGGTCTCGCTCTGTTGCTCGGGACAAGTAGCTGGGACTACAGGTGTGTGCCACCACACCCAGCTAATTTAAAAGAAAAACATTTTTTTTGGTAGGGGCAGGGTCTTGCCTTGCTGCCCAGGCTGGCCTTCTCTTTCTAGTTTGTTGAGTGTTTTTTATCATAACAGGATGTTAGATCTTTTCAAAATTTTTTTCTGCATCCATTGATATGATCATGTAGTTTTGTTCTTTCTTTCTTTCTTTCTTTATTTTTGAGACAAGATCTCGCTCTGTCACCTAGGCTGGAGTGCAGTGGCATGGTCACAGTTCACTGCAGCCTCCAACTCCCGGGCTCAAGCAATCCTCCTGCCTTAGCCTCCCGAGTAGCTGGGACTACAGGTGCATGCCACCACACCTGGCTAATTTTTCTATTTTTTATAGAGATGGGGTCTCACTATTGCCCAGGCTGGTCTCGAACTCCTAGCCTCAAGCAATCCTCCCACTTTGGCCTCCGAAAGTTCTAGGATTACAGGTGTGAGCCACCATGACTGGCTCTACAGTTAACATTTGACACTCAAGAATTTAACATAAACCCAGGCACAGTGGCTCATGGGCTGTGTGTCAGATACTAAGTTCAGAGGAAACAATATGAGTTAAAATAGCCACAGTCACTGCCTATATGAAAGCTAAAGTCACGAGGAGATGATGGAAGAGGGGTATTAATTAAATAACCATGCTAGGATAAAGCTAAGAAGTACTCAGTGCTCTGAGAGGGTATAATGGGGCTTCTAATTTTCCCAGGGCTGCTGATCAGGGAGGGCATCCAGGAGGAAGTGACCCTTTAGCTGAGAACTGAGTACATAGGACAGAATGAGACAAGGCTTTTAGGGATTAAAGGGGAGCTTTCCATGCAGACCAGATAGGATGTGCGAATGCCCAGTGGCAGGACAGTATGGTGCATTCAGGGGACTAAAGAAAGGCCCAGGTAGCTACCTCAAGGGGCAAGATGTGGCTGAAGGCGTGAGCAGCAGGCCTTGCGGGGCCCAGTCAGCTGCAGTCAGAAATCAGGTCTTTAGCAGAAGAGCGAGGAGGAGCCATGGATGGTTCTCAGCAGTGGCGGGGTTAAGCGCATAACACGATCAGTCTGCCCTTAAGAGAGAGAGAGCAGTGTCATATCCTGAGACCACGGGGAGGCCTTGCAGCCACGCTGGGGAGGAACTGGTTGCCTGGACCAGGATGGGGTGGTGGGTATGAGGACAGTGGTCAGAATTTGGAAATATTTAGGGATTTACTGATAAAACTAAAAGGACCTGGAGATGGCCCGGACACAGGAAGAGAGGGACAGGGAGGAGGCCCAGGTTTCAGGTGAGAGCCATCGATGAAAGGCCGTGCCAGTGACAGAGGGACTCCCCGCGGGACCAGTGCTGAGGGGCTGGGAGGCGTTGAGTGCTGTTTTCCTCGCTGTGAATTGAAGAAGCTGAGATTCTGCTAGGTAAAGGGACAGGGTAAGGCCACACGACCTGATCAGGTGGGGGTGAGGTGGAAGAGTGCTGTTCTGAACACCTGCTGCTCCTGAGGCGACACCCAGCTGGCGGGGGGAGGTGGTGGTTAGAGATGCTCCCTTGCTGAAGGTCTGGGAGCATCTGTGTCGGGTACTCTGGAAAAAAACTTCGCACCTCTTATGGAAGACAGAGCTGGCAGTAATGAAGCCAAGAAACTGGTTCCTGAGAGCACAAAAACATCCCGGGCAGCAGCCGCCCTGCTGACGGTGCTCGGTGCCTGACGCACATGGGTATGTGGTGACCCTCTGCAGAGGCCGGGGCCGTGGGGTGGCTGCTTCATCCACTCTCAGCCTCTCGGCTACCTCTGATTCTGGGGTCCAGTTAAGAATAGTAACCCCTTCCTCCACCCAGAAAGCCCAAGTCCTGGGACGAACGGAAAGGGAGGATGAACTTTTTTGAACGCCTACTTTGTGCTGGAGACTCTGTTAGGCCTTTACACCTATTGTGAGGATTTAATTACTAGATCGAGTTGAAGAGGAAATGAACTCCCATTTTTATAGGTAAGGAAACCGTGGTTCAAAGAGGGGAGTACTTTTGCTCAAGGGCACAGATCTGGCAAGTGGCAGGGGCGAGGTTCCAAGTCCAGTCTGCGCCACTCCTCAGTGAGCCCTTTACACGACAGACACACGGAGCTGGAACTAGGTAGCGGGACAAAGACGTCAGGGCTGGTTCTGAAGCTCCTCAGGGCTCAGAAATCTGAAAAAGTGAAATCGATGCTGATATCACTGGTAAAGTCGAATTTCCATTTCCAAAGCACCTCTCCTCCTGCCCCCCTGGGAGTGGGGAGGGGACAAGGTTCCCAAGCTGGGGAAATGATCACATCTCATTCAAATGCTTGGCAGCCTGCCCCAAAGGGTGGTTAGCCCTGAGCTGAGGGCAGGGAGCAAAGGCAGGCGGGGGCCCCTGGGAGACACGGTATTGTTCTTTTAAAGCTATAAATATCCACAAGGGCGTTGTTCTCTCAGAGAAGAGGTCCGCCTCACTCTCCCCTGCAGAGCCCTCTGGATCAGGTGGGGGTGAAGGAGCGAAGGATATGCCATCCCCAAATGTGCCAGATTGGTGCACTGATCATTTCAAGTTGAAAACATTGGAGAAATTGTAGGTTCGGAAAGGCCAAGCTGACCTGCCCCGTCCTGCACGCAGCAAGCCGTGAAGATTCCTCTGGGAGGGGCCCCCTCTCCCGACCTGGGCGAGAAAATAGCCCCTCTCACCAGAGCCTGGGAATTGGACCTGAATAAACAAACCGAAGGAAGTGACCCTCGGCTGCCACCTGTTTTACACCCCCCATATATCTCCTAGTGACTCCCCTAAAAACCTTTACTGCCCTTGCCAGGTTTTCTTTGTCCTGTCATTTCTTCTCAAATTTCTTGCTCTTTGTCTCAAACGGATAAAAGCATCTCGCTTTGGCCACTTGTTCGGACTTCACTCCCTTGTGCAAGAGCATCCCCATGTACAGGTAAAACTGACAAAATTTGTTTGCTTTTCTCTTGTTCGTCTGCCGGGTGTCAGTTTAGTTTCTAGATCCAGCTCACTAAGAGCTAAAGGGGGTCGGAGGGGCTCTCGGGCTCCCCTGCGAGGGTGAGGCCAGTGAGGCATTGCACCCTCCTCCATCCTTGCCTCACGGCAGCAGTGAGACTCCGCCCCCCTTCCTCATTCTCCCCCGCAGGCTCCCCACAACTCCACCCTGTCAGAGGTCTGAGGGAGGCTGCCGGTCCCTGGGTTGGCTGCCTTGTGCACAGGACACTCAACTGCAGGAAATATTTACTGAGCACCTCACATGTGCAAGACATTCTGCTAGGCGCACTGGGGGGAGCAAGGGACACGGACCCGCCTCTCCTCCCCGGGAAGCTCACGGCCTCATAGAACAGCCTCGTGCGCTGTGCAGATGATTTGGGGTGCCACCCAGCTGTGATCTCAAATAACCCCAGACCACAGATTGAGAAGATTTTCCTTTTTCAACTTAATTTCAATTTATGTGAGCCAATACATCTTCAACATTTCCATACCGCTTGCTAAAAGTTTGTGGCAGGCAAATGAGATTGGTTTTCCATTTATGATAGCAATTTAATTCTAAAATAAATCTATTAGAGTTAAAAAAGAAAAGGTGCCCCTACTTGAAGAAGTATATCAACCGAGTAATAGCACAGGTGGTGACCGCACATGCCAAAACCGAGATAGAGGTAAGCAGATATCTAGAATTTGAGAGAACCCTCTAGAAGAGGAAACGCACTGCCCCTACCCGACACTATGGACTCAGAACTATCCTGTGAAATCCCTGTACCACCTATTTCTAAAAGATTAGGTCACGCCTGTAATCCTAGCACTCTTAGCCGGGCATGGTGGCGCATGCCTGTAGTCCCAGCTACTCGGGAGGCTGAGGCAGGAGGATCGCTTGAGCCCAGGAGTTTGAGGTTGCTGTGAGCTAGGCTGACGCCACGGCACTCACTCTAGCCCAGGCAAAAGAGTGAGACTCTGTCTCTAAAAAAAAAAAAAAAAAAAAAAAAGATTAGGGAACTTTCCTTCTGGTAAGGGACCTACTTGGGATAATAGAGCAATTAACAACTTCGGCATTGTTTTCCTGGGGATTGTTTCTCACCCTCCCGCCCCGCTCCCTGGGAAAAAGTTAATATAAACAAAACCACTTGCACTCAGTTAACACTGGGTGAGTTGAACATTGTTTCGAAACTAAAGTCTTAAGATATTTCAAGGGATAGTGGTGAAACAGACAAAGTCTTCCACCCAGAGAAGAGAGAGCCGATGACTTGGGGCCACCAGTTCCAGTGTTGGGGACCCCACTCCAGTGCCAGGGCCAACTTTAGACCTTCAGCACCCTGAGTACGGTGGGACCCCTTATCAAAATGTAAACAACATTAAATGACAAACGCATACCTAACACGTATGCTGAAATTAAAACTAGTTTATACTTCTGGATTGTAGATTGCGAAATTCTGGATAAGATTGTCGAAGTGTTTGTTTTCGGGTTTTGTTTAGACTTGGGGGGTTTTCCCACATTCCTGGTACACCGAGCACACTTTTTAGAGTAATCACTGCGTGTTGAGGGACGGACGGGCTGTGATCTGGCTCAGTCCACGGGCTGCCGCTTCACTCGGGCTCAGAATATGGACATGTCACCTGTCAGGGTCACTCTGCGCTGTCAGTCCCCTGTCAGCTTTTTAGCCAGTTGGCCAGGAACCTGTCCCATCTCCCTGGCACCAGCTGGGTTCCCAGGCAGGCAATTACCAGAGTTATTCCACGCAGACCCCCTGCACTGGGGATACAGGGAGATGAGGAAACACAGTTTCTGCCTTCGCAGGTACAGAAAATGGCACAAGAATGAGGAATAAAATAGTCTACATCCATTGTCGTGACACACAGCAGCAAGGAGAGGCAGGGTGAGGCCTCAGACCACGCCTCAGCCACCATCCTCATTTTATGAATAAGGAAATAAGAGTTCAGTGTTGCTAGTGGCTCCTGTGAAGGATGGACAGAGTGTGTGTGTGCGAGCGTGTGCATCACTTAATAATGCATGGGTCCTAGCACATAGTAGGTGCTCTGAAAAAAAATCTTCATTGAATCAGATAAATCTCTGTTGAAGATTCGTGGAGGAGAGAAGAGGTTGGAGCCAGGCCTGGCTGCACTACTAGACATGGAGGAGAGGTGGGGAGGGGGCATCTGTGCCAGATCCCTGTCCTTACAAGCGGCTGCCTGGTCTATGAGCAGTCTCTGTGTCTAGCCAAGTGCAGAAGCACCAAGACTAGTGCTTCTTTGGAGGAAATACTTTGACATGCCATGGCCAGCCCAGCTCTCAGGCCTGCAGAAGGCTCCCCTCTGCCCGCCCAGTGCTGGGGACCTTCCCCTCCTGCCCTCAGGGACACAGTGCCCACGCTCTGGAGTTGGTGGCCATAGTGCAAACCATTTTGGGCAAGTTCCTTTCTGTCCCCTCTCTCCTGGGAAGTCAGATAATATTGGGACAAGGAGACTGTTGCGGTGTGAACCAGGATCCAAAGTGTCCTTAAATGGAAGTGATTCTGTGCACGCTCCAGGCGCACACATGGGCACATGCCCACCCACGGGGCTTGAAGCGGGGGAAACGAGGGGGTGGGTTGGTTGTGTCTTCTCTCCCTGGAGAAATGAAGAAGCTCACTTTAGGGAGAAATTTAGGAAGTGAGATTTTTCTGGGTAGGGCATTTTTAGCGACATGAAACTAACACTTGGGTCAGAGGGATTGTGAGGCTGTGGCTGGAAAGTCCACGGATTTCCACCGACTCAGAAAAGCTACGCTCAGCCAGGCTTCTCCTGTACTGGAAGCGGGAATTGGAAAGTCAGAGACTGAAACCATTCATCTAGTGTCTTGGCTGTAGGTCGTTCTTACCTCAGTTTCTCTCTGGATAACTGCTCTCTTCTCCTGTCTCAGCACCTCAGATCCCACCCGGCTCACCTTGGCCCCCAGCACCCAGGACAGTCTGGCTTTCACCTCTCGTGGCCCAGAACTTCCCTCCCCTCAGAGTTTCTTAGTTCAGATTCTGATCGTGAATCTGATTGGCTTAGCTCCTCTTTTTGAGTCAGAGGACAAGTCTAGGGATTGGCTCAACCTGATCTAATCAGCTGTAACTAGAAGGGTGTGTGTGTGTGTGTGTGTGTGCGCGTGCGTGCGCGCGCCCGGTGTCCTGTGAAGGCCACTTAGCGCAATGGGAGCTGGGGGAGGGGCTTCCCAGGGAGCTGGCTCTCTAAGAAAGTGTGGTAGAGGAAGGATGAGCATGTGTCTTAGCTCATTTTTTGTTGTCTGAAAATGGGTAATTTTTAAAGAAAGGGAATTTATTTCTTACAGTTCTGAAGGCTGAGCAGTCCACGGTTGAGAGGCCACATCCAGGAAGGGCCTTCTTGCTGGTGGGGACTCTCTCCAGAGTCCTGAGGTGGCGCAGGGCATCACATGGCGAGGGCTGACTGTGCTAGCTCAGGTCTCTCTTCCTCTTCTCA